TATACATATTAGAAACAACTCCCATACTTGTCATATGGAGATATTCTCAATACACGGGTGGGGTGGGAGGTGCAGTATGGCGTTTGTGGGGCACCAATCTGATCTCGCTTCGATAAATGACCCTCGAAATAGTTATGTGAATCTGCTAATAAATTAATTTTTCATGTAAGACGTTCAAAATATTGCTAGCTTTCTTGGACCTCGATCTCTATTTCCATATATTGAAGTCATGAACTATACTTGCCTACTTGGGTATATTTAAATTGACAAATAGGAAGTGGAAGGTTTGGTTATCAAAAGAGGGGGCGTCAACATCATGAGTAATTAGAGAAAGCACAATTCCCGGACGAAGAAATAATATTGGAATTTAGAAAATTTTGAAGTTAACCTCTCGATCGTTGAGTCGTTCCTAATCCTAATCCTACCCCCAACGTTACTTTCATGAGAAAACCCATCCATTTTCTATCACTTTCTCTCAATTTCTTGGCAATCTATTGAGTGGGTCGATCGAGCCTAATGTCATTTAATTTGGTCAGTAACCAATAGGCTCTTGGCTGATGATAGCCAAATGGAAATTGAAGATATGTTTTGTCAGTACTTCACCTTGTTTTGGCCTTTTGGGTTCACCTACTCTTAAGAATATCCGTCATACTTAATTACTTTTTTATTTCTTTTTGTTTTGTCTCTTCGTCTCTCTTTCTTTCTTACTTATTTCTTCAGTTTATTAATAAACTGCATTCCCAAGTCAAAAAAAAAAAAACTAAGGGAAGGCTTGTAATGAAAGAATTCATGTATTTATGACAGGATTAGTAGGGGTAGGGCTCAAAGTCTTGTGGGTAGTTTCATTAATGTAGAGAAGAAAATATGTACATAAGCTAATAAGTCAAAATAATCTAATAATGTTGTTGATCAAAAGCATATATAATGGCCAAAGGACTTTTCACATATAGCGTGTTCCACAAAGGGGAGATGTTGATTTTTTCTAATATTTTTTAATATATACGTGGAGTTTTCTTCTCTTCTTTTCTTCTAGTTATATACAGCAGCTTAATTTAATGAGGTCTCTCAATTATTTACAAGTTTGGCAAACCACGATTCAATCTTTTCCCGTTTAGTTTGCAATGGATCTAACTGTCAAAAGTTGATGCACTAAAAAGACGCAAGAATTCTAAAATAGATGATTTTTTGAAAGATCCAAATGGAGCTTCTGCGTTTTTTTATATTCATCTTTGTATAAAAAGACACACCTTAACTAAATGGGCTTCAGGCTGCTCAGGTCTTAATGCAAAAGTTAAATTCATCTTT